GAATTCAATTACCCCAAAACCCCAAAACCCCTATAACGGAAAATTACTTGATGTTATGATTTTGATAATTAAGATAAATAAATCGAATTCTTGATAAAGGAATAAATCATTGCCATGAAGCAATTTTGGTCTTGAGAGTCTCTGCAATCTTGTCCATAAACTATTCAGTGTTGAGGTAAGTATCTCTGGCAACGTCCATAGTGTTGTGAACGCAAATGGCTAAGTCTTTAGTCATGAATCCAGCTTCAACAGTCTCAATGATTGCGGCTTCAAGAGAAGTTGCGAACAATGCAAGCTTTTCATTGCTATCTAACTGAGCTCTGTATGCAAGACCTCTAGTCCAGGCATAGATCGAGGCAATTGGATTGGTTGAAGTCTCTTTACCTTGTTGGTGGAGTCTGTAATGTCTGGTAACGGTACCATGTGCAGCTTCAGCCTCGATTGAACCATCTGGAGCTACGAGGACTGAAGTCATAAGACCTAGGGATCCATATCCTTGAGCTACGATATCTGATTGGACATCTCCATCGTAGTTCTTGCAAGCCCATACGAATCCTCCGTTTGACTTGATAGCATAAGCAACCATATCATCGATAAGTCTGTGCTCGTACCAAAGACCCTTGGTCTTGAATGCCTCCTTGTAATCGCTTTCATAGATTTCAGCGAAGATATCCTTGAATCTGCCATCATATCTCTTCAAGATGGTGTTTTTAGTGCTCAAGTAAAGTGGGTAATTTCTGTCAAGAGCATACTTGAATGAAGAGTGAGCGAAACCTCTGATTGATTCATCGGTATTGTACATGCCCATAATGATACCACCATCCTTGAAGTTGTAGACATTGAAGGTCTTTTCCTCTGATCCATCAGCTGGGATGAATTTCATTATGAATTGACCTGGTCTGTCAATAACAGCATCAGTGGCTCTATATTGATCACCAAAAGCGTGTCTTCCAATAATAATTGGTTGAGTCCAGCCTGGTACTAGTCTTGGGATGTTTTTAATGACAATTGGCTCTCTGAAGACTGTACCATTCAGTTCGTTTCTGATGGTACCATTTGGTGACTTCCACATCTCCTTTAAGTTGAATTCCTTAACTCTAGCTTCGTCAGGGGTGATGGTGGCGCATTTAATTCCAACCTTATATAGCTTAATAGCTGCTGCAGCATCAAGAGTAACTTGATCATTAGTCTCATCTCTATACTCCATACCGAGATCGAAGTACTTAATGTCAATATCAAGATATGGGAGGATCAACTATTTCGTACATTAAAATTGATTTGATGATTACCTTCTCCTTGATCCATTTCCAAATGATTCTAGTCATTTCATCTCCATCCATATCAACAACGGGGTTGTCAACCTTTATCTTAGTGATAGCCTCTACCATTCTTTGCAAACAAATCTATTTTAAAAGATATTTTTAATTGTTTTCTCAATGATTCAGACCTAATAAAATAAGTAATGACGTTAATCTTAATAATTAACCACTTCTTTTTTATCAGGTTTACGGGGTTTTGGGGTTTTGGGGTTTTGGGG